TCTGGTGGGTTACGATGTTTGTAAAACTTAAATTGGCCGCACACTATAAGGGTTGCCTACGAATCCTTTCTTAAGGAATCAGACCAAACGTAGCTCTCTTGAGTATCCTACTCAAGTAATTATGGGTAATACTTCTTAAGTTGGTCAAGATTTGTAATGTTTGAGAACTCATTTCCATCCATATCAGTCAGTTTTGCAGCTCCTCCTGAAAGGAGAGTTTTGACAATATATGGTCCAGACCGATTGGGTCTAAACTTGCCTCTTGGGTCTAAAACATTTTTCCTTAATGCTTTCAACACCAAGTCTCATACTTTAATATTCCTTGTCTTCACTTTCTTGTTGAAGTGTCTAGACATACGAGTTTGATAACATTGAGTATGATGTAGAGCCTCTAGTATCTTTTCATCCAGTAGAATTAGCTCTTCATATCTCGCTCTAGTCCATTCCACTTCATCGAGTGTACTTTCTCACGCAATGTGTAGGGAAGATATCTCTAGCTCTACAGGTTGTACGACATGCATCCCATAGACTAAAGAAAATGGTGTATTCCCTGTTGATGAACGAATTGACATGCGATAACCCCATAGAGCAAAGTGGAGTTTTTCAGGCCAATCTTTGTAATTTTTTGTCATCTTCTCGATGATTGTCTTTAAATTTTTATTAGCTGCCTCAACTGCAGCATTTGATTGAGGTTTGTATGGAGGAGAGTGATGGTGTTGAATGCCATACTTTTGTGACAAATTTTCACATTCTGCTTGAAAGTGAGTTCCATTGTCACTTATCATTTCATGTGGGACTCCATATCGACAAATAATGTTTCTTTCGATAAAGAGTGCTACATGTTTTGCAGTGAGTTTTGCATACAATTTTGCTTCAACCCATTTAGTGAAGTAACCAATTGCTACTAATATGTATTCATGGCCTCCTGTTCCCGGAGGAGTAATTCTTCCAATAATATATATTCCCCATGTTAAGAATGGCCATGGTGATGTATAGGTGTAGAGAAGAGACGGATGAATATGTTTCAAGTTAGAATATATTTGGCAATTAGGGCATCTTTTGACATATTGATGACAGTCCTTATTCATGGTAGTCCATTAATACCCTCGCACATTATCTTTCGGATTAGCATTTTTATATTTACATGTGTTCCACATACCCCTTCGTGGACTATTCTCATAGCTCTTTGGGCTTTCTTTTTACCTACACATAGAAGAGCTCGAACTTTAGGTACCCTTTTGTGTAACTCGTCGTTAATGAGCGCATATTGGGGAGCCAAAAGTGTTAAGGCTTGTTTTTTCTCTTTTGTCAGCAATGGGGTGGATATTCTCCTTTTCTGACATAGATGAGGATGTCCGTATACCAAGGTTCTTCCTCTTCTTCTTCTTCTTAGGTTACTTCGTCATCCTCTATTGCTTGGATATAAGCCAGTTTATGCCTCTTTTCTATTGTTAAGGGCATTTGCTCAATTTCCGTAGGAATTCTATCCATTGAGGCTACTCTTGCCAAGGCATTCGCAAATTGATTTTCCTTTCTAGGTAGATACGTGTATTCTACCTTTTCCAATTGATTTATGAGAGTTTTCAGGTAGGTTTGGTAAGGGGCCAAGCTTTCACTCCTTACTTTCCATTTCTTGGAAATGTGATTGATGATCAACGAAGAATCCCCGAAAATTCGAAATTTCTTTACTCCCAACGCCAATGCTATTTCGAGGCCTACCACGCATGCTTCATTTTCTGCAGCGTTGTTGGTAACGTCGAAATCTAGCTTTATGGAGATTTGAAAATGTTCTTCTTTAGGTGATACCAATATTTTTCCTACACCACATCCCTTTTGGTTTGAGGCTCTGTCGAAGTAGAGAGTCCAAGTATTATCTTCTGTGACCAACAAGTCTTCGTCTGGAAAATCATTCTCGTTTATTGGTGTGGAATCTTCTATTAGGAAATCTACTAAGAAATCCGAAACCACATATCCTTTAATAGCCTTTTAGGGCATAAACCTTACATCGAATTAGGCTAAGTTGACTATCCATCTTGATATTCACCCATTTAGTGTATATTTCTCAAAAAGATACTTGAGTGGATCCATTCAAGATACTACAAAGACTGTATGAACGAGCATGTAATGTCGTAACTTGTTTGTGGCCCACACCAATGCGAGGCACAATTTCTTTAGTGATTTATAGCGTATTTCATACTCGAGCATCTTTTTGCTTAGATAGTAGATGGCGTTCTCCTTTCCTTCTACTTCTTATGCGAGCATATCTCCCATTGTCTCTTTGGTGACTGTTAAGTACAACCTAAGAGGAATTTCTGGGAGTGTTGGTGCTAATACAGGAGGATTAGCAAGATAGGCTTTGATCTTCTCAAAGGCTTTTTGACACTCATCGTCCCATATTACTTGTACATTCTTTTTAAGCTTCTTGAATATTGTTTCACGTATTGTTGTCAATTTAGATATGAACCTACTTATGTATTGCAACCGGCCAATGAATCCCGAATTTGCTCTTCGGTTTTGGGTGGTGGCATTGACATGATTGCTTTGATCTTGGTTGGGTCTATCTCTATTCCTCCAGAGCTAATGACTTATCCCAAGAGTTTTCCTGAGGTGACTCCAAAAGCACACTTGGATGGGTTCAACCTCATGTTGTATTTCCTTAACCTTTTCAATGAATTTTCTCAGAGCTACCAAATGCCCTGGGCAATCCTTTGATTTTACAATCATGTCATCTACATAGACTTCGACTTCCTTATGCATCATGTCATGGAGTAAAGCAGTTGCTGCTCGTTTGTAAGTGGCACCCGCATTTTTCAACCCGAATGGCATTAATGTGTAACAGTAAGTGCCCCAAGGTGTTATGAAGGTTGTTTTCTCCATGTCTTCTTCTGCCATGAGAATCTGATTATACCCTGCGTATCCATCCATAATGAGAAAAGTGCGTGGTTTGCTGTATTATCTACTAGAATATCGATGTGTGGTAAAGGGAAGTTGTCCATTGGACTTGCCTTATTTAGATCTCGATAGTCGACACACATTTGTATTCTTCCATCCTTCTTCGGAACTAGGACTATATTTGCAACCCATTTGGGGTATTTGGATACCCTGATAAAACCTGCTGTTATTTGTTCTACTACTTCTTCTTTTATTTTAAGGGTTACGTTGGGATTTATTCGACGTAACTTTTATTTTACAAGTTTCATTCCTGGAATTAGTGGAATTGTGTGTTGAGTTATTTCTCTATTAATACCTGGCATGTCTTCATTTGACCAAGCGAATACATTGATGAATTCTTTTAATAGTTTAATAAAATCGGTTCTTTCATCTTTATTAAGTGTTAGTCCGATTTTAACTTCTCTTTTAATGGTTGGATCTTTTGAGATATCAACTGTTTTAGTATCCACTACTACAAAGCTTGGAAAAGATACCCTTAATTAAAGACCAGTTATTTAACTAACGGGTCTATTTGATATAAAAGATCCAATATTAGTTATTACGGGTCTCTTATGTGTCTGAATTTTGGTGCAAGAAAAAAAAGGAGAGATAAGAGACCGGTTATCAAACCTAACGAGTTTCTCTATTATATGAGGTCCCACTGTTTAATGGTGGGAGAAAAATGAGAGTGATAATAGACCAGTTGTCTAAATTAGCGGATCTGTTACCTTTGATCTTTACTGCAGCAACGATTATTGCACTTTATTTTAATTTTATTTATGGAAATTTCACCAAATGCCACTAAGCAATTTAAAAATTCACCAAATGCCATCGGACTTTTCAGAATTCACCAAATGGCACCCAGTTTTTAAAAAATTCACCCAGTGTCATTAATGACCAACGGCCGTTAACTCCGTTAGTAATTAAGGGTTAATCATGACACGTGTCATGACATAATTGAACCATTTATCTTAATTCATAAAAATTTAAAAAAAAAACAAAAAAAGTTAAAAAAAATACAAAAAATTAAAAAAAAAAACAAAAAATTAAAAAAAAAACCCCAAAATTTTCCCACCCACCCCGACCACCGCCAAACCCTAATCCCTCCCCTCATCTCGCCGGAAAACGGCCGTTCACCACCGGAACCACCAACAATCGGCCGGCCGACCATGTATCTCCCCACCTGACCCACCGCCGACCCCCAAAACCACCCACGCTGCTCGTCCTGACCCCAAAAACCCTGCTCCCTCACTGCCACCACAGCAACTCCACCTCCAAGATCCACACTGCCCCCTTCGCTGCTCCCACGCGCACCAATTGGTCCAAATCCTCAACCCCGATGCACCGCCACTTCACCGCCACCACTACAGAACCCATTTGGGTTTCGGGTTCAACCTAGAAATCCCATTTTCTAGGGTTTTGGGTTTTCTGTGTTAAGTCAATTTTTGGTGGTTTAAGGTGAGGGAATGGGGTTTATAGGAGCCGGAAAACAGGGGAGGGGGTGGTTTCGAGGCTGCGGTGGTCGGGAAGGGGTTGAATCAAAACCGTTGCTCATGAAGGTGGAGGTTGGTTGTGGTTTTCGCAGGTTAAGGTTAGATTGGATGGGTGGCACGTCAGGTAGGGGAGGTCAGAGTAACAATGGGTGGGGGTCGGCGACAGCGGGTGATCCCGACTCCGGCAAGTCGGTTTCTGGGCTGGGGAGAGGTGAGTTGCGTGAAGGGAGGGGGAGAGGGATAGGGAATGGTGGTGAAGGTGGTTCCGGTGGGGACTGGCCGTTTTCCGGCAAGATGAGGGGAGGGGTTAGCGTTTGGTAGTGGTGGGGATGGCTGGGAAAATTTTGGGGTTTTTTTTTTTTTGTTTTTTTTTTAATTTTTGTATTTTTTTTAACTTTTTTTGTATTTTTTTTTAATTTTTATGAATTAAGATAAATGGTCCAATTATATCGTGACACGTGTCATGATTAACCCTAATTACTAACGGAGTTAACGACCGTTGGTCATTAATGACATTGGGTGAATATTTTAAAAACTGGGTGGCATTTGGTGAATTCTGAAAAGTCTGATGACATTTGATGAATTTTTAAAATTGTTCAGTGGCATTTGGTGAAATAGCCGTTTTATTTATCATTGGCCGTATAAAAAAAAATAACTTCATTCGTCTTCTCTCTTTAAAACCTCCGCCTATCCCCGATCCCAAATCAAAACCCTCATCCTCTCTTCTTTATGAATGCGCCGTCACTTACTCCAACCCCAAAGTAAAACCCTCATCCTTTTGATTTTTTATGCAACCTTCAACTTTAATGTATGATATAGATCCAATTCATCAACCCACGTTGTTATAGAATTAATTTCCAAGCAATTAAGATGAAAGAGAACAACAATCAAGGCAAATTAGAGTAAAAAAAGGAAGAAATTGGTACTACAGGTGGATAAAAGATGATACACAACGTATTTCGGCTGCTTGAAGTCGATGTAGATCGTCATGGTATCCTACCCTTTGAATTGCTCCTAATTGAAGATATACTTCAATTCTTCAACGTTAGAGAGATAATGAACCTCCTATGATAATAGATCTGGAATTATGAATAACTGTTGTCTGATTAATGATCTAACTTCAGATCCAAATTGAGGTAATCTATCTAACAATTGATTTTTCAATTTCAGAATTTGTCTCGATATTTATATATTAATTGAGTTGTTATTGAACTTTTGATTGTATTTTATACTTTTCTTAACAAATTTATTCACCAAATGTCATGCTTTTTTTTTTTTTAGGGATAACTGAATGTTATTGCTGAGTACAAAGTATATCAATTTTTTGTGCTATAAATTGTAGTAGTTGCTTGTGATGTTGTGATTTGTTTCAATTCAATAACCTATGGTTGTCTTTAATTTTTCTTTTTTTTATTTATTATATGTGTTCTTAAATAAGTTTTCTAGTAGAATTCTTATAATGATTGATTATTTTGTTTTAATTTGTTTTGTTAGGTTTACGTGACTGAATTCTCAAACAAAGGAGAAAGAAACTGGAGTACTCAAGCCTTATTGAAGTAATTACAATTGTAATTATATCTCAGTAAATTAAAATAATTATTTTTTTTGCAATTTTATGTCGGATGATTATTTGTATCACATGAATTTTAATTTAACCCATTGTTATTTTCAATGGTAGAGTGTAACTTACAATTTTTTATTTTTTCGCCATTTTTATAACATGAAAACAAAATTTTCAAAATTTAAATGCAAAAGCTGCCAAACCGCATAAAATAAAGCAAAAATAATTTTTTTTTAAAAAAAACTAGAGAACAATAAGACCGTTACGTGAAATGATGGGTATGTTTGATATCTTGGAAGTGCGCCTACGTAAAAGCATGTTGTGAATATGTTTGGCACTTATAGGAAGTGAGAATTGACATAATACGATTAGGGACAAATAAAGTAGGGAGCCGCCAACAAGTTTTTAAAGAACTTGTAAACCGTTCACGGATCATAAAAAGGCAACTACGATAAGGGACAACGATAGGAAACAACGATTGACCCATTAAGGTTACACCTCATTCATAATCCATGATATTACTAAATCCATATGGTTCGAAACCACGAAAGGAGGATCGGGGATGATGGTACGAAGTGAGTCATGGAGTCACATTCGCCCGTATTGGCCTCTACTCGATTCTTATGGTGAAAAATGATTCCTGCTATCTCAAAGGCATACAAACAAAATATTCAATTTTCTCCAAACTATTATTAAGCTAAATTGGTTGAATATTAATGCACACATAATTCTAAAATATTTGTGATCACTTGAATTAATTAACAAGATTACAAAGGATCTTAAACCGGTTGTCCAAATTATCTTATTAGGCGTGATTTTCAATTACATATTCCCTTTAATATGCAATATGGTGATCGTAAATAATAGAATAAACATTAATATTGGAAACAATTTAACAATAATTCTAACAATACAAAAATCGTTAGAAGAATAATAGAAATAAAAGGAACATAATTCTTACTTTGATTCTGTTTGTTTGCAACTACAAAATAATAAACGAGTTAGTAACTTCAAGGAAATAATAATAAAACAATAATTAAATTAAATTAAGTAGAATTGATTTGGGGTCAAACCCTTAAACAGTTCTACCTTTCACGCCTTGACTTAAGGACAGAACCACGAGTAAAGTATGGACTCCTTGGAGTACTTGAAGAAGGAATTTTGAAAGAATAAGGGTAGACTAGTGTTTAGGCTAATGCATAGAAGAGAGAAAAAACTAGAGAATTAATTGATGCCCCGTACATCATAGATGAGGGGGTATTTATAGAGAAAATGTGCTGAGGGAACACACGGAACCCTAAAATGTAAAAACCCTAAAAAAGTATCCCGCGACACGGCAAAGTGTACCGTGACACGGGAAATCCCACCGTTAGACGGGAAACATTCCCGTGACACGGTGAACTTTTGTGTGACGCGGGAAATATTTGCTGAATGGGAGAGAAAACGCGTTAAGGATTTACGCGGAAAGGACACGGAAACCCCCGTGTCACAGCAAGTGTCCTGTGTCACGGGGAACCCCACCGTCAGACGGGAAAGTTTACCGTGACACGGTGGAGTGTTGCCGTGACGCGGGAATTTTTTGTCCGCTTTTCCGTCTAAATTCATTTTTAACCCTAATTTCGTTCAATATTTTAAGTGCCGAGTGATAATTTCCGGCTATTTTCTAATTTTATTATTATTTGGGCTAAAATAAATAAAAAGTTTTGGCCAAAATAATAAAACAATAAAAAAAAAGGTTTGGGCTAAATTTAAATAATAAGTTTGGGCTGAAATTAAAACTATGCTTTGACCAAATATCAAGATTGATCCATGGACTATTCCAAAAATTGAATTTAATTAAATACGATATTTTAAGCACTATCGGGATGAAATACTGAACCCGACTAATAGTGGCGGTGAAAGGTTGTTCATCATCGGGTTTGGTTTTGGGGAGACATTTTTAGGTGTCTACAGAAGCCCGCACTTTGACTGAGTTTCGAAAACGATAGTCAAAGTAGCCGATAGGGACGGAGAATGACTTAAGACGTTCTGCGATCCTAAATCACTCTGTATACGCCGATACCTGCAGAAAAATGTTAACTCTACAGATAAAAGAGTAAAAGGATAGAATACGTATCTGACACCAGTGTGTCGGTGACAAATGAGTTTGGCAGCTTCCCATGCTTGAAGGAATCCACCGGATAATGTTCGTTGAAACGCTTTCCATACCTGAGGAAAGCCGACTGAGGAATTTGGTAGCTTTCTAAGCCTGAAGAAACCTACCAGATGATACTTTCCATGCCTGAGGAAAGTCGACAGATGATGAGAGTGCAAGTCACCGTGTATTGAGAACCTTGCGCCGTGAAATGATGGTGGTTCGATTGTCCCCGAACGTGGGCTGTAGTTGGTTCGCTTGTCTCCGAACGTGGGCTGTAGATGGTCCGCTTGTCCCCGGACATGGGCTGTAAATGGTCCGCTTGTCCCTGGACGTGGGCTGTAGATGGTCCGCTTGTCCCCAGACGTGGGCTGGTTGTAAATGGTCCGTTTGTCCCCGGACGTGGGCTGTAAATGGTCCACTTGTCCCCGAACGTGGGCTGTAGATGGTCCGCTTGTCCCCGGACGTGGGCTGGTTGTAAATGGTCCGCTTGTCCCCGGACGTGGGCTATAGATGGTCTGTTTGTCGCCGGACGTGGGCTGTAGATGGTCCGCTTGTCCCCGAACGTGGGCTGTAGATGGTCCGCTTGTCCCCGGACGTGGGCTGGTTGTAAATGGTCCGCTTGTCCCCGGACATGGGCTGTAAATGGCCCGCTTTTCCCCGGACGTGGGCTGTAGATGGCCCGCTTGTCCCCGGACGTGGGCTGGAATTGAGACCTGCAAAATAAAATTTGCCAAGGGACTCGTATAGACTATGATTGACTTGACCAACTGACTTGACCAAGTTTGACTTGACACGACATGACATGAGTATGACTTGTGATTGTGTGTGTATAGTTTGAGTGTGTGTGTGCAGACACAAGCAACCAAAAATGCAAAAGCAAAAATTTTCCATCATTTTTGTCATGAGACGAGTGGAAGGTACTGACTTTCTCCCGAAAAAGAAAGACGTGAAAAATGAAGTTTTATTTTTGAACTTTTTTCTATAAAAATTTTGAAAAAGTTTTTGAACTTCCCCAAAATAAAATAATGAAAAAGGGAAGAAGTTTTGAACTTCCTCGTTGAGAAAGACGAAATGAATCGTATGGATTGAATTTCTTGTCCTGAAAATAATGTATCCATGATGCATGTTCTTAGGACAGGAGGCTAAGGACAATTACATCATGTGATACGATAGATGAATGAACTTAAGTCATGGAGCTAAGCATCATATATGGTGTAAAGAAGCGATCTTGAACATCACTTAGGTCTGGAAGCTAAGCACGTATATAGATGAAGTGATTATGAACGTTGCTTAGGTCAAGGGCTAAGAACCATATGCTTTGTATTATTACAAATCATTGATATAGAAATGTTACTCAGCACATTATGCGATGCATGAAACAATAAACATTGCTCGGGTCAAGAAGCTAAGCAAGTATACAACGTTTCTTCTAATGAATGTTGTCTTGAAAGATGATGAAGCATGCGCGATACAGAAACAAGATTTCATGATAAAGGGTTTTAGAAAGATGACATGGATATGTATGTGTGAAAGAAGTGTGTGAAAGTGATACTAAGGTGAGGCTGCAAAGGTTATGGTGATGGAAATATATGTGTGAAGAGTCAAAGATGATGACTCTTTAGGCTGGGTAAGCTAATGTGATGTGGGTTCAAGCCCTCAAGTCTAGCTCTAAATGGGTAGGGATATAGAGATAAGCATTGGATATTCTTTGACTCGATCATGCATAGATATGAATATGACTGTGGTCGCACCTCAATGTGAGGTTGCCTACGTATCCGTTACGAATCAGGCCGAACGTAGCTCTAACCGAACTTTGCACAAGTGTGTGTACACCTCAAAGAGGTCTTTCAAGGGTTGTAATGTGGTTAAGCTGAAGGTTTAAAGAAGAAAGGGGTAAAAGGCTCAAGACCCGAGAGAAGCCCCCAAGATATGCAATTATGTATTAGACTTTGCAAGTTTTATTTTTCATATATTTTTTGTTTTGAATTTCTTTTTTTTTTTTTCATTCTTGTGAATCAATGTAGGCAACCTCAGATCATGCGGTCCATCACTCACTTAGCATTCATGTTTCTCAGGCACGGTACCAAGCACTCGATGAGAGACGCAATTTGAGATATGTTCATATCGGAGACATTGGAACACTTGCCTTTAGACATTTTTTTTTATTTACTTATTCTTTTCCCCTTTTTTTTTAAATTTGAACTTGCTTTTTGATTGTTACACAAATTGCACACCTTCCCATCCCAGAGTTAAGTGAATGTGGGATGAATAAATGAAGGCCAAACGTTAGACGAGGCTCAAAATGGTTGATGAAGAAATGGAATGTGATTGAACGGTTAACAGGGAATGACAGGGTTGCAAAGGTGCCTCAAGTCATTGGTGTGTACCTTGGGTTTCGTCCGGTAATTGAATTATTTTTTTTATTATTTTTTTTTATTTTTTGAGAATGAATGAATGAATGAAAAATTCTATGATCAAGATGTAAAGGAAATTTCTCATTTTATTAATGGAAAAGGTGAACGAAACACATGAAACATTTAAAAATTCAAAATGGAAAACCTATGCTAGACATGAATGGGGGAATGGAGATGAATGATAAAGAAAGAAATCATGAAATCTTGCATGAAGGATCTGCTGTGCGCCTTGTGTTCATTGCTTCTTGCCGCCTGGAGGGACAGGAAGTTTTTTTGCATCCACCAAGTCTTGAATGACGTCCTTTAAATTCCAACATTGCTCCGTAGTGTGGCCCCTTCCTTGATGGTACTTGCAATGGGCATTGGAATTCCATTTGACACTCCTTTCTTCAGGTTTTGGCTCTGGAAATGGCCCAATAGGTGTGATCAATCCTTGACTATAAAGGCGATCAAAGGCCGCATCATAAGTCATTCCTAAAGGAGTGTAAGTTCATTGAGATCAACTTGGCTTATATTGAGCAATGGAGTATCAAGAGCTAACACTTCATTGAGATCAACTTGG